GGGCGCAGGCGCAGACCACCCCTCACTAGGGGCTGCGCGCCCCAATGGGCGTCCCAGGCAGCTGCGTCGGGGGTCGCGCAAGGGCTCCTGCCTCTCCTTGCGCCCACAGGATCAGGGCGGTCAGGGGAGCCCGGGAAGCCAAGCGCCTCAGGCGCCCTCCCCAGCCCGCGCCACTCACTCGGGGAGGCAGAGGAGGAACAATGCGGTCCGGCCTGGCTCCTCCTCAGAGACCACCCCCAACCTGTCCCCTCCCACAGTTCGGCTGGGCGCCAGCTCCACCCCAAGCTCCCATCCTCCTAGGCGGGCCGGGGTCCGAGCTTTGCGCTCGCGCCCCTCTTCGCTCCGACATCTCCAGGTGCTGGGGCTGCGCCTCTTGCGGCCTCGGCCCCCAGGGCCCAGAGTGGAGAGGAGGTAGGTTGGAGCTGACAGAGGGGTCTTGAGATTTGGGGATGGTCCTCAAGGGGGAGGGAGCGACCGGGTAGCCCCGAGTCCGCTATCACTAGGAAGTCACGCAGGCACCCCAAATTCTACCGAAGTCCCTCCAGGGAGGACGGGCCTGGGCGCGGGGGGCGGGGCTTCGTGAAGTTTCGGGGTGGTTAGGCTCCCCGCTACATCTTTGTAACCCCCTCCCACTTTCCCGTCCCTGAGCCCCAGAAGTCCGGGAAGGAATCCCACCCTCCCCCCCGGCCGCAGCCCTCCCGGAGCGCGGTCGCCTGGTTCCCATTAGAGCAGTTCCGGTGCCGGCTTCGTGGGGGGCGAAGAGGGTGACCCCCCCCCCCGGATCCTCCAGGTCCTAGAGGAAGCAGGGTTTCCCCGAGTCCTCCAGGCAGGACTCTTTCAGGGAAGAAGGGCAGGGAAAAGGTTGCCTCGAGGAGCCAGCCCACAGCTCACCGTGTCAGATTCCAAGAAAATCCCAGGTCGAGTCCCGTCGAGCAGCGAGCAGCGGGCTTCGTTCCCAAGCGGCCCAGCCAGGGACTTCTATTCTTTGCCCCTCCACCCTGCCCCTGAAACTTGTGAGGTAGTCTGCACATAAACTCACAGGTCTCCGTCCTTTCTTACATCCCAGGCATCAGGAGCCAAGGAAGGGATTTTAGTGGACCTGGAGGTCCCTGGAGGTTCACGGGAGAGAGGAAGCAGACAGAGAGGACCTAGGATCTGTGTCCCCTTGAGCCAAGGGGCTGGGGAAAAGGGGACCGAGTGACGGGGGTGGTTGGGGAGGGGGGTGTGGGATGATTGCGTTGAGATCCCATCTGTGGGATCCCAAGTTCATCTTGTAACCTGGAGCTCCAGGGCTTTTTGCAACACACAGCTGTGAACACAGGAGCACAGCTGGCCTGCAGGTGTAGCCTCTGGGTGAGGCCAGCTGGGTAGAAAGGACAGGAGCCTTGAGCATGCCAGAGGGGTGAGGAGACCAAGCCAGAGTCTTCCTGGAGAGCAGCCAGAGTGGACCCAGATGGCAAGGGGAACAGGAGATTGTTATCCTGGGGTGCACAGGGCTTAACCAAGTGGTGAGCATCCAGGGTAGTCCCACCTGCAAGAAGCTTGCCCAGTGGCAGGCCAGACAAGACCACCATGCTGAGAGGACAGTTCATTTTTCAAGGGTTCTGGGACAAAATATTGAGCAAGACGGGACCCATGCATTTCTAGTTCCTCCACCCAGCCGCCAACAAACCACCTGCTTCTATTCTCAGCCCTCAGCAGTCAGAGAATACACAGCAGCCACCAGCTCCTGAGCTCAATTCATATGGGCCCACACGATGCTGGCCTCCATAACTGCCTCTTCCCCAGACGCTTTCTTGTTCCTGCTCTTCTTTTATGCACAACTCCCACACCCTTGATTTGGCTCACAGTGGACCCCTGGTGGAGGATAAGCGCCATCTCTGATTTGGGGGTAAGTGTGTGGTGAAAATGTATTAAACCAGCTTCTCATCCTTTCTTCTTTGCAGGTTGCAGATCACAGGCTGCTCTGGGAATCTAACAAGAACGCAGGAGGTGGGAAAGTTAGGAAGTGGCGCCTGTTTCCTCTGAATCTAGGTTCATCTAGGTCTTCCCCACCTTGAGATGACAAAGCGCAGAGATGCAGGAGTCAGGCTGGTCTGCCTGCAAAACTGTGACATCGGGAAAGCTCCTCACCTCTCTTTGAGAGCCCCCTGCCAGGACCTCGATGCTTGTGTACCCAGGTTTCTTTGAGGGAGAATCATTTTATGGCAGTAAGGCATCAAAGAAGAAGTCCTGGTGGGCAGGAGAGGGAATGGTTGGTCACACCTACAATTCCAGTTGCTTGGGAGTCTGAGGCAGGAGGATAGCAAGTTAGAGCCCAGTCTGGGCAATTTTAGCCAGACTCTGTCTCAAATAAAAAGGAGCGGGCATGGAGGATCACACCTATAATCCCAGCACTCTGGGAGTCTGAGGGCACAAGGAGGACAAGTTAGCAAGTTCAAGACCAACCCGGGCAATTTAGGGACTTAGCAAGACACTGTCTCAAAAACAAAACAAATAAAAAGCTAGGGTTCAATCTCCAGTACTGTAAAAAAAGGAAGCGGGGAGGGGGGTTGCTGGGGCTGTAACCCAGCACTTCCCAAGTTCAATGGCCAGTACTGAGGGGTAGGGGAAAGAAGCAGGAAGATATTTAACTAATGAAAATGGGGGAGAACTCCCTGCACCCCACATGGAAGAGAAATCTTGTAGCCAGAAGCGCCCATTCCCAAAGGTACACAGATAATCACGATTTCACCTGCTGGACAGGTGAGGGGCTCTGTGAGAAACATCAAGAGAAGTGGGTGTTCTCAAGATGGAAGATGACAGGGGAGGGACCTTTGGAGTACTTCATGGTCACTATTGTCAGAATTGTTCCTTCCCTCCTCATACAAGCTTATTATGGTTCAGATCTAGCCTTCTCCCCAAAGTCTCCACTGGTAGGCAGGGCTTGGGGAAGGTGATTGAACAACAGAGGCTCATAGCTGACTTGCTCTTGGGAGGTGGGGCCTACTTGGAGGAGGTGGTCACTGGGAGTGTGGCCTGGCAGGGTTTATCTCCCTAGCTCCTCTCTTCACTCTGCTTCCTGTGCCTCATGAGGTAAGCAGCTTTTCCTCCGCCAGGCCCCTCTGCCCAGCTGCCCTGCCTTGGAGCCTGCTGACCATGGACTGAAACCTTTGTAAACCATGAGCCAAAATGAACCTCACCCTCTTTGTGGCAAAGATAGGGTATTTTTCCCTAGCACAGAGGAAATTGACTAAGACACAGCTCTTGCTGTTGGTAGTGAGTGTAACCACAGTTTATTGGAGACTTACGTCTCTTTCTACTGGGATTCCTCAAGAGGTTGTAAGCCTTCCCTGTCCATAAGTCATTCCCAGGAGAAGAACCCAGGGATTCTAGAAGGAAATGGGAAGCCCCTGGAGATTTTCGAATCTGGGGTGAGTGGTACAACTCAGTTGCATTCTGGGAAGATGCTAATTTTAAAATAGAAAAAGGACTTGAATAGACATTTTCCCAAGAAAGACAGACAAGTGACCAACAAGCACATGAAAGCTGCTGGGCTGAGTCACCAGGGAAATGGGAGGTGTTACTTCAACCACTAGGATGGGTGATCAGAGGAAATTAAAAATCATAAATATGGGAAAATCTGAGCAGACACTTCTAATGGGGATGTAAAATGGTGCAGCTGCTATGAAAACAGACTGGCCATTGCTGCAACTATTAAATCCAGAGCTACCATGTGACCCAACAACTCCGCATGCACCCAAGAGAAATGAGCATTATTCATACTCACCAAAAGGTAGAAACCACCCAGCCAGGTGTGGTGGCACATGCCTGTAATCCCAGCTACTCAAGAGTCTGAGGCATGAGGATTGAAAGTTTGAGGCCAGCCTGGGCATCTTAGTGAGACCCTGTGTCAAAACGAAAAGTGAAAAGGGCTTGGAATGTAGCTCTGTGCTAGAGCATTTGCTTAGCACGTGTGAGGCCCTGGATTCCATCCCCAGTGTCACACATGCACACTTATATGCACAGATGGAAACACCTAAAGGTTCATTAACCAATGATTAGTTAGATAAAACGTGGTATGTCCATACCGTGAAGTGCTACTCAGCCCCAAACAAGAATGGAGTACTGATGTGTGCTGAAAGACGGAGAAACTCTGAAGATGAACAGACTGTGCTGTGCTCATTCAGTGGAGTGCTGCCGTTCAGCTATAAAGGAAATGAAGTTTTGGCCCTTGTCACAACACAGAACTCAGAAAATATGCTAAGCAAAAATGTCAGAAACAAAAGGACATGTACATACAATTCTGGTTATATGAAATGTCCAGAATAGACAAATCCTGACAGAAAGCAGAATAGGAGTTGCCAGGATCTAGGAGGAATGGGACTGGGAAGCATCATCATTCCCTGTTTCCGTTTGAGGTGATGAAAAAGTTGTGCACACAGACAGCAGTGATGGCCAGGTAACCTTGTAAAATGTGCTTATTACCCCTGAATCATGCACTTTAAAATGGTTACAGTGGTTCATTTAATGATGCATATTTTGACCTATACACAATTTATTGTGGTTTTTTAAAAACTTTATGGAGCTTCTATGTTATTACAGTGGTACCTCGGTTCATGAACATTTTTGTTTGCAAACAATTTGGTTCATAAACAGAAGCATTTAGCAAAATTTTGTTTTTGTTTGCAAACTCTGCATCAAGTGACATAACCATAGCCAGCCATCTTTCCCACATGAACGCAAGTGTGGCCATCTTTTCCAAAATGATAGAATAAAGTAAGTTCATGAACCGAGGCACCACTGTATTAGTACATGTAATAAATGTTGCATGAAAAATCGTCGTGGAACCAGGATTCCCCACTCCCCAGGCTCCTGTTTCCTAAGACAGCATCCTTTCATTCTAGTTCCAAAGAATCCAGTCAGGCCCAAAATTAAAAAGGTGGCAGCATTAGAAAAACCAGTCTCCTGGGCTGGGGATTTAGCTCAGTGGTTCTGCCACCTGTCTCACAAGTGCAAGGTCCTGAGTTCGATCCCTAGTACAGAAAGGAAGAGGAAGAAAGAAAGGAAGAAAGAAGGACAAACAAGTCTCCTCACACTAAAATTTCTCTGTAGAGGCCACTGCTGGCCCTGGCCCCAGCACAGCCCAGAAGTCCAGGGCTGCCCTCTAGGGAACCCACATCCTGTACTGGAATGTCGGGCCTTTCCTGGGTCTGTGACCAGGGCCATGCATATAAGGACTTGACTGTTCTGTAGCTGGAAAAGACAGCTGGAAAATATCCCATCTACCCTCAAACTTCCACTTAATCTCCCTGCAGCCTCCTCCTGGAGAAGTGTCAGGGGCTGACTAGACAGAGTGCATGCTGTTTTGAAATAGCTTTCAACATTCACTAGCTTTGTGTCCACTTCTAGCCAAGACAGTCACCAGGACCCAATTCCATCCCCTCTTCTGTCTGCAATAACCAAAACAAACTCAAAACTTGTGAAACAATTGTTTTCATGACCCTGGATATCAGGTTATGGAGGACACTAATCCCTGAGGGACAGGGAAAAGGGAGATTGAGCCCATGACTGGGCCAAGTCACTGCCTTGAGAGCCTGCCCAGATCACAGAGCAAGAAGGGAACCCAGGTAGAGCCCAGCAGTCTCCTTGAGCTGACAGTGGAGTATCCAAGACAGCCAAGGCTGGAGTTGGACGAGAGAGAAGAGGACCCAGAGGTCTGGCTCTAGCATTGCGCCAAATGCTGGTCAACACAGCATCAATGTGCCACCCCCAGGCATCTGAGTGGAGATCTTTCCTGTCTTCCTCTAACTTTCTTCCTGCAAAAGTGTGCTTCAGTTGTGGTTTTTTAAAAAAACTCTGGATCTCCTAAGTCAAGGACCCAAACCAGCCAAGGACAACTCTACCCTATTTCACAGATCTTATTATGCATTGAACTGCACTCCAAGAGTCGTGTGCAGACCCCAGTGTGCCTGTTTGGAGATGAACGATGCTAAATGAGGTCATATGGGTAGGGCCGTAAGCCACTGAGATCAGGGCCCTGAATCGGCTGGCACCTGGATTGTGGCTGTCCCATCTCCAGGTCTGCAAGAGATCAATGTCAGTGTGCACCTGCCTGGCTCTGCTGAATTGTCTCAGCATCTGAGCTAAGGCAGATCTCATCCTAGCTTAGCTGAGTGCGTTGTAGTGACCCCATAAAGCCACAAAGGGTCCCTCACCAAGGCAGGGCTCTGAGGAGACAGGCTGGCATTTCTGGGAAGGCACTGGAATGCAGGACTTGGACCTGTTCTATGGCCAGAGCAGGAGACGCCCCTCTCACAGCCTCTCTGTCCTCGCTTTTAATGAAGGATAAGCCTCATCCTGTCCAATGGGGAAGCACCAAATGTGAAAAGGACCAGGTGCAGTGCTGAACACCTGTTATGTCAGCATTCTGGGAGGCTGAGGCAGGAGGATCACAGGTTCAAACTTAGCCAGGGCAACTTAGACTTAGCAAAACTCTGTCTCAGAAAACAAAGGGCTGGGGAAGGAGTGGGGCCCTTGCCGCTCTGTCATGCTCCCTCACGCCTTCTCTGGAATTCTGGCAGGCATGGAGAAGGCAGAGGCCTCTGGAGCCACCTGAATGTCAACTTGGCCCCAGATGACAAGGAAATAGGAGCAGCTTCTATGGCCAAGGAAGCAACCAAGAAAAAGAAACAGAAGCAGAAGAAGAGTAAAGGCGCTGTTGCAGGGCAGCCGGAACCCGATAAGGAACGAGGAGCCTCTGTGGATGAAACAGCAAAACAGTTGGAAAGACAAGCATTGGAGGAGAAAGAAAGAGATGCTTGGGCTGGGGATTTATCTCAGTGGTTATGGCACCTGCCTCATAAGCACAAGGGCCTGAGTTCAATCGCTGGTACAAAAAAAAAAAAAAAAAAAAATAAAAAAAAAAAAAAAAAAAAAAAAAAAAAAAAAAAAAAAAAAAAAAAAGAAGAAAGAGATGCTGATGGTGAAGATGCTGATGTTGATGGAAAGAAGAAGGGGGGAGGGGGAGGAGAGGAGGAAGAGGAAGAAGACGACCAAAAGTTCAGACAGACCCTCCCTCCTGCCGATCCCTGACCTGTACCCTGGCGGAGTGTTCCTGAAGGGACAGGAGTGAGAATACCCACCCACACAGGACTGGCGAACAGCTGCTTGGAGAACTACAGGGGAAGAAAGAAAAGCATTAGATCAGGCCAGTGAGGAGATTTGGGATGATTTTCAAGGAGGTGTGGAAGCTCATTGACAAGTTAGAAAATACGTCATGAGCTGGGTCGAGCCCGGGATGACGATGACAGAGGACTGTTCACACAAGCTCATCAAAGAGAACGGCTTGAACGCAGGCCTGCCCTTTCCGACTGGCTGTTCCCTCAGTAACTGTGCCCCGCACTACACGCCCAACGCGGGCAACAGCTCGGTGGTGCAGTACGATGACATCTCTAAGATCCACTTTGGAGCGCATATGAGCGGTAGGATTATCAGCTGTGCTTTTTACTGGCACCTTTAATCCCAAATGTGATACATTATTAAAAGCTGCAAAAGATGCCACTAATACTGGAATAAAGTGGGCTGGCACTGACGTTCGTCTGCGTGATGTCGGTGAGGCCATCCAGGAAGTTGTGGAACCCTATGAAGTAGGGATAGATGGGAAGACGTGCCAAGTGAAGCCGATCCACAATCGGAACCGGCACTCGACTGGCCCACACCGAATCCAGGTGGGGAAGACGATGCCCATCGCGAAGGGCGGAGGTGATGCGGATGGAGGAAGCAGAAGTGCATGCCATGGAAACCTCTGGTAGTACGGGCAAAGGAAAGGCGCTGCTCACAACGACAAGGAGTGTTCACATTACACGAAGAATTTCGTTGTTGGACACGTGCCAATAATGCTTCCAAGAACAAAACACTTGTTAAATCGTCATCAACGAGAACTTTGGCACCCTAGCCTCCTGCCGCAGATGGCTGGATCGCCTGGGAGAAAGCAAATACTTAGTGGCACTGAGGAACCTGCGTGACTTGGGCATCGGGGACCCATACCCACCACGACGTGATGGTAAAGGGTCGAACACACTGTACTGCTGAGTCCAACCTGCAACAGCACTGTCCCTCCCTCCCAGGCTTATGACCCAGGAAAAAGCTGGGGCAGAGTCCATGCCAGAGTCAGCTGCACTGTGACCCCAAGCCATCTTGCTCCTCAGGGGAGGGGCCCAAGGTCTCCAGGGTCAAAAGCCTGGGAGGGAGGGACAGGCTAACCACCTGGCTGCACTACATCAGCTGAGCCCTGGATCCCAGCCTAGCTGGAAGCAAGTGGGGGGGAACCTGACCCCTGGTGGTGACCACAGTAACTACACCCTGGGAAGTGGCAGGCCAGGCGCAGTGGTGCGTGTAGCCTGATGAATTCAGTAGCAGGGGAGTGATCAGAGCGACTCTCACAGTGTCCAGTATGGCCAGGCACCAACCAAGGCATGACAAGTATCTTTTCATCAATTCTCTGCATGATCGTGGGAGGTGGGGATTGTTGGGATCCCTACTTTGCAGATGTGTAAACCACGGTCCAGAGTAAGTGAGCAATTTGCCCACAGTCACACAGCAAATCATCAGTGAACCTCTGATTGGAATCTGAGATGCACGCTTCTTACTCTCACAGTTAATTATTCCTTCTAACGTTTCTTAGCTGTTGTTTTTAGAGCAGCCTGCTTTACCTGTTTATGTTCTGGTGTTAGATCTGGCATCTTCAGCCTGACACTTCTGGATCTAGGGACTCAGACTGAAGATGGCCTTCAAAGCTGTGCCTCCCAGTGCAGACTAAAGCACAGTGAGAATTGGTGGCAGCCGCTGGAGTGATGAAAACAAACAACAAACAGCACTAGAGAGCACTAGAGCCCCTAATCCCTGGTGCCTATGAATGGCATTATTTGGAAATAGAATCTTTTACTAATGAATCAAATTAAAATGAAAGGATTAGGCTGGGCGTGGTGGCACACACCTGTCATCCCAGCACTCTGGAGGCTGAGGCAGGAGGATCACTGTGAGTTCCAGCCTGGGCTACATAGTGAGACTCTGTCTCAAACAAACAAACAAAAAGATGAAAGGATTAGGAAGCCCAGTCTGTGTGTGTGTGTGTGTGAGTTCAAAGTCAACCATCTATACAGTGAGACCCTGTCTAAAAAAAAAGAAACAAAAACAGGAATAAAATTAAAATAGACATAAAGGAGAGTCATTTTAAAATTTTGTTATTGTTTTATTTTTTGAGACAGGGTCTTGCTATGCAGTTCAGGCTGACCTTAAACTCACTGTGTCCCAGGCTGGTCTCCAACTGTCACTGATCCTTCCTGTCTCAGCCTTCTAAGTGTCAGGATTACAAGTGTGCTCCACCACACCCAGCCATTTAAAAATTTTGGAATTAAAATAGTTATTGAAATAAAAATTTCATGTGATGAACGTTCAGTTGGATCCAAATGAATTAGGAAATTTGTAAACTCCCCTGAAAAATGGTGTGGCAACACACACCTGAATCCCCACAAATAGGAGGCAGAAGTTGGAGGGTCACCAAGAGGTCAAGGCCAGTTTGAACCACAGAGCAAGACCTCACTCCAAAAGAGAAAAAAGATACCAGGGAGAAGTTTGTCCACAAATAAACCACAGACTTCTCACCAGCAGCAATGTCGGCCACATGGCAGTCAGGAGGGGGTTTAGGAGGCAGGAAGACAAACAGCAGACCAGCAGGGTCTCTGTGAGGGAGCAAGGCCACATTTCCAGGCCTGAGTGACCTTGGGCTCCACCCTTTTCCCTCCTTTTAGTCCTGCCTGGTGGAGACTGAGTGGCTTGGGACAGGGCTGAGCAGAGGTCAGTGGAGAGCAGAGGCAGGAGGAAGAGTAGGAAAGCAGCTACATCCAGCAGTGACTCAACGTCCCCAGTTGTGCTCCAGATATGGACCTTGTGCCAGGACAGGACTCGCGTTTCTGAATCAAACCCAGGCAAAGCAGGTGCTCCCATCATTGAGCTGACCACCACCTCGGAGATGGGTGTGTCTGCTTGTTCCAGCAGGGCCGGCAGGAGACAGGATGAGTACTAGGTTGGACACTTTCAATGGGGGTTTTCCATGGCCCACAGACAACACAGGGCTCTAGCTCTGAGGGGCTGGCAGGACCAGGCCATCTAGGGACAGAACAGCCCCTTGCCAGTGCCACCAAGGTCCCAACCCCTCAAAGAGGCCACTTGCCACGACTCAAAGCCAAGTGTACTGGGCTCCACAGCCCAGGACCTGGGCCCCTTCCACTACTGGGCATCTGTCATTCCCTGCTGCCAGGATGACCCAAATGTGGGGCACTAGGCACAGCAGATGCCCATGATATTGGGGCCTCACCATTCCCAGGGAACCCACACTTCTAGGTCTCCCACCACCCTGAACCTGGAAACAAGAGTTGGAACCTAGGAAGGTGAGAAAGGGACAGAATAGGGAGGTTGCTGCCTCGGGCAAGTCACAGTCGCTGGCCTTTCTCCAACTCTGGGGGACAACAGAGCACACACAGCCACACCTGGTGCCCATCCTGGCCACCATGCAGCATCAGGGCAGACAGCCACCAAGCACTGACAGAGCAGTGACGGAAGACCTGTTTCTAATGTGAAAATGTGCACAGGACTAGGCAGGCACAGCTTCTCTGAGCTTCAGCTCCTTCCTTTTGCAAATGTGATAGTCCTAGCAGCCGCCTGTCATTTGGCTTCCTTGTCTGGGCTTGCCAGGGACTGTCTGGTTTTAAAAGGGAAAGTCCCTGCCTTCCTGCTTTACCTGTAAGTACTAAGGCTAACTGACTGCACCACTGGAGCCACTGGAGCGCCCCTTTCCTCCGGCGGCCATAATGAAGTGCTACAGACTGGGGGACTTCAAGGAGATTCACTCTGCATTTTTGGAGACCCGAGGTCAGAGGTCACAGCACGGCAGGTACCGGCTCAGGCCTCTCTCCTGGCTCTGGTGTCCACCAGCAGTCCTCGGTGCATACGTATGCCCAGTTATTCTTTTTGTAAGGACATCACGGAGGGAATAGTGGCACATATTTGCTTGGGCAGGAGGGTCAGAAGTTTGAGCCCAGCTTAGACAATTTAAGAATTTAGCAAAACCTTGTCTCAAAATACAAAATAAAAAGGGTTGGAGATTAGGTCAGTGCCAGGGCTCTGGGTTCACTCCCCAGTAAACACACACACACAGACTGGGCTTCCTAATCCTTTTATCTTTTTGTTTGAGACAAGAGTCTCACTATGTAGTCCAGGCTGGAACTCACAGTGATCCTCCTGCCTCAGCCTCTAGTGCTGGGATGACAGGCGTGTGCCACCACGCCCAGCCTAATCCTTTCATCTTAATTTGATTCATTAGTAAAAGATTCTATTTCCAAATAATGCCATTCATAGGCACCAGGGATTAGGGGCTAAAATAAATTCAACCTCTAACACCCCTTCAGTCCCAGGCAAACAAAGGTGGTTGCTTACCCTAACAGACCTTCACATCCTGAAATTCCCTCTCTTGCTCTCCCTTTTTAGATTAAGAATCTTTATCCATTACTGTCCCAAACATGGGCTGTGAGCAGCCTCGGCAACAGCTGAGCTCTGAAACTGAGGGAGGCCTGGTCTTGAGTACTTCCTTGGCCTGTGGGATCAGGGACTCTAGGGGTGACGTTGGCCTGCTCGGTGACCCCTTGAGGTGACCAATGCATGTGACATCACAGTCCACCAAACCAGGATTTCCAGTCGAGGGGGCTGTAGGCACAGTTCTGACTGCAGGCACAAAGGGCAGAACTTCAAAGGGTGGCCAAGGCACAATAGTGACACTGCACTGATGTCAGTGTGGAGGAATGTGACCTTTCCAGCTGCCCCAGCTGGCAGGCAGCCTGCGTGTGTTTATCCTTTTAGGGTAAAGTTCAGGATGCATTCGCCTCTCCAGCCAGGTCTATTTATCTGAGGTCTAATCTGATGATGGGGACAGGACCAGTGACCCAGTGCCCAGACAAATCTCTGCTGGGACAGGAAGGTAGTGAGGGTTTTGCTCCTGTAATGAATACAATCAAGTGGTGCTGCCTGGGCTTTTCTTGGGAGTAGGAAGAACAGGGTCCAAGTTCTTAATTGTTGAAGTGACAGTATTTCTAGAATCTGGACGATTTCTTGTGAAATGGATTTTAAAAAACACAGCCAGGGGCCAGGGATTTAGCTCAGTGGTTCTGGCAACTGCCTTGCAAGAGAAAGGATCTGAGTTCGATCCTTGGTACCAAAAAAAAAAAAAAAAAACCCCAACCAAAAACCCCCCCAAAACACAGCCAGGCCAGGCCAAGTGTGGTGGCCCATGCCTGTAGGGTGACCCAGGAGCATTGAAAGTTTGAGAGCAGCTTGGACAATTTGAGAGATCCTGTCTCAAAATGAAATTTAAAAAGGGCTAGGGATATAACTGCCTAGTATGCATGAGGCCCTGGGTTCAATCCCTAGTACTGCAATACCAAAAAAAAAAAAAAAAAAAAAAGCTAGGCATGGCCGCTGATGCCTGTGATCCCAGCTATGAGAAGCTAGGGCAGGAGGATCCCTTGAACCAAAGAGTTCATGGACAGCCAGGGCTATACAATATGACTGACAGACAAACCAACCAACCAAGCAAGAATCTCCTGGGGATGTAGTTCAGTGGTGCCACACCTGCCTGGCAAGTGTAAGATCCTTAGTTCGATTTCTTGTACTGGAAAAAACCAAACCAAACCAAACCAAACCAAACCAAACCAGGAGTCTCCTAGGTTGTAGCAGGTGTGAGACCTTTAACATCACCTCCTACACAAATCCTACCTTTTGTGAGGGTCTGAGCCGCTCAGCCAGGTTCCTGCCCAGGAACATGCTCCCCTGCATTGTACCAGGGCAGGGCTGAGCAGGAGTGGGGCGAGTTCTGCGGGCCCAACTATGACCAAGGACTGAAGAACCCGTGCCTGTGACATGTGAACGATGGCAGGCCTGCTGCCCATCATCATGGTGGCAGAATTGGTGTCCTGAGACCTTGGGCCAGCCTGGCCTGAGATGGTTTCCCAGAACTCTCTCCAAATGGCCACTTTCCCGGGCATGGGACCAGGAGGGAGGTGGCCCTGCAGGAATCAGTGGGGACCCTGCTATCAGGTGACAGATCTCAGTATGGCAATCAAGGTAGACAGTAACCCTTGCCACTGTGAGTGTGACTTGCATTTGTCTAGGGCAGTGGGAATAGCTGATCCTGCAGATTTGGGCCATTTCAGGAATCTCTGGCAGGTTCATTTGTGAGTGAAGGAAATGAAAACAGAGTATACGAAGTTTCACCTGCAGAGCTGGGCCAGCCAGTGTGTTTTGGTGCCAGGCTGGTGCTGTTTACCTGGCATGGGGGCTGTGTTCAAACGCAGTGGAGCAAAGTGAGGGGTGAAGAGGCCATCTCTGCCAGTTGCCCTAAGCTCCCTGAACCCCCGATCTGCCTCCTGCTAAAATGTGGCCATTCTGAACTGGAGGACATGGCGACAAGATAGTTTGCTTAATGTAAGTGTCTTGCTCTCAAGGGAGGAAAGGTGCTGAAGCAGTTCTGGAGTGTGGAAGGACTGCTCAGGGGGCTGCTTTTAGAATGGGCATCAGCTCTGACCAGCTAGATCATCAAGGCCACTATGTCCAGGTGGTGCTGGGGCCATGTGGCAGCACACACCTCCCAGCCTGCAGGTGCCACACATCCCAGCACAGAGGCAGTGCTCTTCTAACATGGTGACGACAGGCAGACTGACAAAGCTGCCGCACCCTGTGGATCCCACCACTACTATCTGAGGCTGCATTTGTCACGCACGACACAGGGCACCAAGCAGCAGCGCCTGCCTTGTTAGCAGGCACAGGAAAGGGAACGAGAGAGGATGGAGCCCTAGTGACTTCACTGGGCACTGTGCCAACAGTGGAACCTGAAGTCCAGTAGGCAGGGCCACAGGAAGCTCCTGCTTGTCCCTTGCTGGGCTAGACAGCACCAGGATCAGTGCTTGGGTCCACTGAGGACGCAGTGAGAACACTGCGGTCTGAAGAGTAATGCTTCCTCTGGAACTCAGGTTTGCGACATGCTAGGTGCGGTGGTGCACATCTGCAGTCCCAGTACCCAGGAGGCCAGCTGGCAGGAGGATCACAGAGTGACGTCAATCTGGGCCATGCAATGAGTTCAAGACCAGCCTGAAGGACACAGTGAGACTGTCTCAAAAAAGAACAAGAATTGCTCTTGAGGCGAAGGCACGTGAGCTCACAGGGAGGGTGAATCAGGTTGACGCTTCTGCTTGCAGCTGTGACCTTGAACTGTCATCTGCATGTCCAAGATGGTTTCCTTGTGTTGAACCAGGAGTCTCCCATGTCACTGGATAATGAGGCAGAGAACACAGGATAGCAACACATCATGGGCACCCAAGTGACTTCCTCGGAGACTGCAACCCAGGCCTTGGCAGGATACCAACTCCACGGGGTACAGGGTCCTCAGCTGTGTGCACGGCCCTTGGACGCACAGGTCCTCAGAGCAGGTGGATTCTTCTGTAGGGCTTGCACATAGCATTATTTGAGGAGCTGTGAGACTGCATGAGCTTCTAGTGAGCTCCCTGTGCGCTGCTGGAAGTTCCCTTAGCACAGGAGGAATTTCTCAGATGAAAAGGGCTAGCTGGGTGAACTGGATTGATTTAATGCAGTCCCATACATTTGATACTAACATATTTTTAGTTCTAAGATTAAACCATGTTAATAACAGCTTGCTGAAATTAGTTTACTTAAACAGCATTTGGTGGAAGTCTTCAAAGGCTCTGATTTCATGCTGGGATAACAAGTGAGATAAAAATACTTAAGACCCAAGAGAATGGCATATTCTAAGAACATAACTTTTTATTAAAAATTAATTGCAAAGAAAAATGGTAAGACAATGGCAACATCTGCTTGTCAGAAGCAGCCAGCCTGTGAAACCTGAGCCAGGAAAGGGCCTCATATGAAATACACGGCTCAACCCCAAGTCTGACCAGACAGGGTGAGGGCCGCATGCCAACGCCCCACACCTCGGGTGCCCCTTTTCCAGCTGAGGATGCAGTCAAGGCAGGCGAGGCTGACTCCTGACCCTGAGCACCTGCTTGTAGTGTACCCCATCCTCTGAACTTCCAGATGTTCTGGAATGAGGACAGGGGGACAAGCAAATCTTTTCTTTTTAGACAAGGTCTCACTACGTAGTCCAGGCTGGCCTGGAACTCACATCAATCCTCCTGCCTCAGCCTCTCACGTGTTGGGACTACAGGTGTGCGCCACCATGACCAGCAAGCAAATCACTTTCTAAATTCTATCCTCACGTGGACATCAAGCTGAGATGGACAAAATGTGTTTTATAACAGCTCCTTTTCTTCAACCAGCATCAGAGACACAAAAGGGGAACTCGAATGCTCCACCACCAAGTGTTCCAGTCACGGCTTAGGGTCCTGCCCTGCAAGGTAAGCAGTCACTACCCTCATAGGCCAAGGCCACTCAGCTCCGTCATCTGCGCTCCTTGGGGCCATGGGAAGGCTCCAGAGCACCAGGCCAAGCACAAAGAGTTAAGGTTTGCAGCTATTTTATTTACAAGTATACATTTAACACGATGAAATAAACACTGATATATTGAAGCCTAGTTAATAGTAGTGTAACAATATGTATCATTTTGATGATTACATTATTTTAAACAACAAACTACACTGAAAAATTAATGCCGATAAAATTCTTGGTCATAATATTATTAAGAAATACAATATATAAATTGAAAATATGATTGCTTAAAATTTGAAAATGGAAGTGAACTCATTTGGACAGAGTCAGAGTTGAACATAATCTGAAAGGGGAGGGGCTCTAACCCAAATGACGTCTCTCAGGTTAACAGAAGAGAAGAAGCAGAGTTTTCTCCGAGAGGTGCGGGGACCGCTTCCTCAGGCAGAATATGTCCCAGTGTCCTCAGACCGCCTGGTTGTGCTCACATCACTGAGCAAGAAGACTTGCCTTGTGAAGCTGCCCCATCGATCTTTTCTGCCTCCAAAATTATCCTTCTAAAAACATCGACAGCAGTCTGAAAGGAGAGAAGCGAGCACAGGCTTAGTCCTCTGGCGTCGGCTGTCATGACTGGGTGGAATCAGCCCTTCTTCAATGAAGCGGCAAGCAGCGGCCAATCCCTATCTTCTAAATGCAGCCTCCCAGGGTGGGAAGAGGCTGCTCTCCTCAACAGGCAGCGCCTGGCATCCTCATTTCCCTAGCTCATTTTCTCTCAATCCCATGGGACCCTAACCCAAACTGCTGACGTCACTCTCCTGCCACTTCTTGACCCCCCTGGGCCAGCTCAGGGTCCCCATCTGTCCCTCTCCCAGAGGAAGACCGTGTGCCTTGTCCTTCTCCTGACTCCCCCGTGCTCACACTGGGCTGATAAGCTTGCTTCACATTTCCCTGAAGACAGAAGCGCCATTCACATGAGTGCGCTGCGTCCTCCAGCACCACTCCACACTCAGCAGGTCCTGCTGCTGTCAATGAGGAGGCCTGGCCTAGCCCTCAACCTCCCGGACCCCTCTCTGTCTAAACAAGGCCATGCTAGATCACTGGATCGTCAGAAAGCACTGTGTAGAGTAAAAGGGCCAGATGTAGTTTTACTTACATTTAGCCCTACTTCTTATACCACATAAAATACAGGGTAATCTCAGAGACATTATTAACTTTTTTGGATCATAATTTTCTCACTTGTAAAGTAATTCCAGCACACATTTGAGACCAGTCTGGGCAATTTAGTGACTTTAAAAAAAAAAAAAAGTGAAATAGTTCAACTAGATAATCTCAAGGACAGAATAGTTACTTGATAAATTCTGATTTAACTCAATTAAAATGCAAGTATCTTACTACTAATCTCAATTTTTTTTTTTTGGGTACCGGGGATCGAACTTGGGTCCTTGCGCTTTCGAGGCAGGCGGTGGAATCACTGAGCTAAATCCCCAGTCCTACTAATTTCAATTCTTATTTGAATTCTCACCATCTACAGTATGGAACTAAGTGGATCCAGAGAAAGCCCTTGATACCTGTGACTGGGAACCAAGGACACAGAATTAACACACTGTTTCTGCACCCAGGGACAAGAGCATAAGTAACCAGACATGGAAACACTGCATTCAGCACTAGGAAGGAGGGGAGGGACCCCCAAGTTCAAGGTCCACTGGCCAACTTAACAAGACCCTGTCTCAAAATAAAATGTCAAAAGGGCTTGGGATGTAGCTCAGGGGTGGAGTGCTGCTTGGTATGTGAGAGACCCTGGGTTCCACTCTCCTGGACCACAACAAACAGGGCTGCGGATTTAGCTCAGTGGTTCCACTGCCTGTCTCCCAAGCACAAGGTCCTGAGTTCAATCCCTGTTACCAAAACAACAACAACAACAAAAAAACAAACAATTTTTGCCAGGTGTAGTGGCGCATGCCTGTAATCCCAGCACTTGGGAGGATCGATCGCTGTGAGTTCAAGACCAGCCTGGGCTACATAGTGAGTTCCAGGTCAGTTTCAAGTACATAGTGAGACCCTGTCTCAAAACAAAACAAAAGATTAAATACCACCGCCTGCCTCCCAAAACACAACAGAGAAAAGCTCTGAATGAAATGAGCACAATAAGACAGGGATCAAATGCTGACTCAGGAAAATGCTGCCCAAAATGCATTTAGAAACCACATACCTGATTTTCTTTAGCAGAAGATTCCAAAAAGGCCGCGTTCCAAGATTCTGCCAAAGCTTTCCCTTCTTCGTAACTGATCACCCTGAAGAACAAGAACATTCTAATTTTTGTTCCTCATTACATGAAGCATGCATAATTAATGAAACTGGCTCCACTCTAGGGGCTGTGTGTCACCATCAGGAGTAATACGTGAGCATTAATCATGCCAGGCTGGGCAACAGGACAAGTGCTGCATGTCACCAGCAGTCCTGCAGCCCAAAGAGGCAGTGGGGGAACTCGGCCATATTTTCCAGTGCTGCCCTTCTCGAGGCCACGATGCAAGTGGCGTAGTCCAGGCCTTGGCGCTGGGCTCCACTGTGCTGTGCTGTGTAAGGCTGCACACACCCAGCCTGGCTTATGTGATCCTAGCCAGAGATGCAAAGGCACACAGTGAAAACAACGAACCCTGCTGCCTTTGTCACAGCAGAGCGCCTGGAGAGAATTCTCTATCAAGTCTGATCTCTTCAAAGAAATGTGGTATTCACACTGCAGTGAAACACATAAACACTACAACCAGAAATATCCTTGCCATCAGAATAATTAAAAACGCTCCACCTGTGATAAATCAGCTTAGACTTGATTTTATAACTCAACAATTTAAAAGCTACATACCTTTCCATATGCAGGTCTTTCTTATTGCCAACCAACATAATAGGTATTCTATTTACAAGAAAGAAATGAATCAGTTAATGCCAGATCATGTCACCCGGAAGACTCCATGATGGAAAAAGGCCAAGTAGCACTACTTACTGCACTTTCCCCACCATATCCAACAATTTGCCATGGATAACTTTAATCACTTCAAAACTGTAAGACAAAACGTATGAAATCAAGATATCCATTTCAGTACTGAAGTTTTCAGATGAGTGTTACAAAGCAGAGAGAATGCACAGGTCATAAACTCACCCTTTTAACATAAAATTACACAAAAGATTTCCTTTATTTTCCCTACCTATCCCTTCCCCCTGCACATGCATCTGACACTAAGAAATCCTTCCCAATGATACTCAAAGTGCAACAGGTGCAATATTTTAATGAGAAAGTCTCAGGCTGAGCTGACAAGCCACAGAAACAAAACTCAATTTCCTACTCATCTGACAAAGAATGAGCAGTGTAAATGACTCTCTGAGCCAGCGCCCCTCAGCACCAGCCTCAATGCCCACTGTCTGGATGACTGGAGCTCTGGATCACTTGTCGCCCCTCCCAGGTGCCGTCACAAGACAACTTCCCCAGCTCTGGTCGGATTACTCACACTCCTGGCTTCGGCAGACAGTGCAAACCGCGCCCATTGGCTTAGAAAGCCTGTAAGCACCAGTGACATCACTGCCTCTGCTGTGGAGCTGTGCAGAACTGACCCCCACCACACTGCTCCTTGCTCAGCCAGACATTCACTGACATCCCTGCCAGTGTACTTTACCTTGGGGGCACTGTCACAGACAGCCCACGCAGGCAGTGTCTGCTTTACTCCCCACTGTGTCAGGCTTTCGAATGAGTCTGCTCAAGTCACGCATTACACATTAGGCCTTTTTTTGGGCCCACTGAGTGCTGGGGAAGGATCCCAGGGGCCACTGAGCATCATCCCTAGCCCTTATGTTATTTTAAAACTATGCAGTTATTTTTTGTTTGCCAAATGGGAATTGAGCTCTGTTTTTTAAAACAAGGCCTTGCTACATTGTGCAGGCTGGCCTCAAACTAGTAATCCTCCTGCCTCAGCCTCCTTAGAAAACTGGAGGGATTACAGAGCAGCTGGAATTATAGGGGGTACCACTGTGGCCAGTCACATGTTATTACTTTGATAAAACTATTCAGGAGTCAAAAACAGGATATGGGAATCCTAAGTACTGTAGGTTGCATGACAGAACAAACTGGACTGTAATACAGCCATGGGCCAGCCTGGAACGGAATGAACAGAGGAAGCATGCCCAAGACACCAAGGTCCATATCATGAAGTGCTACAGACTCATTTTTATTTCACATGCACCAAGGATGAGACCCTTTCAGCTGACTCCTCCCATGGGGCTGGCTGGGCTGACACAGGCTCAGTGACTGAAACGGCAGCTCTTGAATCACTTAAGTAACAGGGTGTGATCAATTCATAAGCCAAAAAAAGTGTGGGAAGAGGAACCAAGTTTATTCTAAATAGTGGCCTCATTTTCATGTAGGCAGAGGAGACCTTATTACGTGAAGGTCTTGTTCCATAAATTCGAAGGGTAAAGTATTCAAATACTGAAACCCCCAAACTGTCCTCCACATAGTCTGGTAAAAACAGACAAAATGTAAAAATTCATGTATTTCTTGTTTAAATTATCAGAAAATAGAAGGTCATCTTCAATCATTACCTAGGCAGCCTACAGTAAGAGATTTTATTCTACCAGTGTTACAAAACATCTAATAGGAACAATGTTTTCTCTTTAATAACCCTGTGTCCATAAGAAAGTCATTAAAAACCACCTAATCAAGTCTGTCACTACTAACCCTATCATATATGCCTTTAAAAGAATTCACACAGTCTGTGCATAGCAGATAAACTCAAGCCAGCATCCGGTGTCTTACCTTTTGATTGATGTAACAGAATACACAAGAATGTAGCCATTAATATCTATGGAATATGTCTGAGGAAAAATGGAGTATTCATCCTGTGGAAGAAAAAATAATCACAAGAGAGTGAAATTTTCACAGAACCTGACAATGTGTACGTAGTTTTTCCACAAAAACCAAGGAAATTCAAGTAAAGAGAGAACACAGTATCATCACAGAAGTGTAGCCTGAACCCTGAAGGTTTAAGAACGCTCTGGGTGATAATGTGCTTCTGACTATTCCAGGACTCACAAGCTGAGGGTGTCACTGACTTCCCAAGAGAAGGAATGCACAATGGCCCTGAGCCTCCTACCAGGACAGGGCCACATTTCTTTTATGGATGGAAAGTCCAGAATCTCTCAGGCCCCTCGGAAATGATGCACCTACAGGTTCTGTTTTGCAGAGATCTAGGCACAATCTAAGGCTATCATAAGCATTTGAGAGAAGAGGAAGAGATGAAAAAATCAAACCACTAGGCTCAATCAGGGTATGTACACTTTCAGGTATCAAGAAACATTCTTCAGAGCCACTCCAGGAGTGATTCAGTGTACTCAGTCCCTAACCTTACAAAGCAGCCTCCCAGACCTTGGCCTCAGACACGGAATTATGAAAATGTACAGAGAGTTCATACATTGATGCAGTTTTCAACAACACACACAACTGCCTGTTGCAGACCTCTCACTCTCAACTGAGAGATGACTGTCACTAATGCAACACAGTCCTGAGCAGCACCACAGGACAGGCGTGTCACGCCGTCACCACAGAAGCAGCAGCTCTAATGATGCAAGCCCGCAGCAGGGTACAACTCTTCCTGATGACTGGGGATTACTATCTGTGGGAAAGTTCTTTAAAAACAAATCAAAGAAGACCAGGGATTTAGCTCAGTGGTTTCATCGCCTGCCTTGCAAGCACAAAGTCCCAAGTTCGATTCCCAGTACCAAAAAAAAAAAAAAAAAAAACGAAAAAGAAAAACCATGAAATTTAAAAATCAAAGAATAATTAAGTTTCACTTCAGTTCTGACATCATAAATAGTAATTAACCAGAAAATAAGCGCTACTATTTCATATAACAGTGTATGTAAAATAAAATCCTAACTTATTATTAATAGTTTCATTACATTAGATTTTAGTGTCTGTTTTTGAAGAGATAAGTAAAAACAAAATCGGCAATGATCGTGGTTATAGCTTAGCTACTGTAGGTCCAAAGTTTAACTTTCCTTTTCCCTAAACAGCAGAAGTGAAAATAAAGAAAAGCAGCACTGTGTACAACCCAGCCAGACACAGGGATCTCAAGAAGACACCCACATGCAAGCTACATGGCCATCAAAACAAGATACAGTTCCTGCGCACCCAGCAGCAGAAACAAATTCCTAAGGATGAACTTAAGGCAAGCAAAGCAATGATTCATATGAAGTCTTAAAACACTCCAGAGGGATGAAAGAATTAGATTAAAGCAACACTGTTCCAGTTTCAGGCAAAACTATGCAGGATTCATTACTTGAGGAACAGCTAGTTAACACACACACGAACACACCATGATTCTGGAAAGAAGCAGACGTTCTGAGAAATCAGAGCAACTGTGGCACACAGTGAATATAAACCAGTTACAGAAACTACCATGGTACACAGGATCACAAATGAAGAGACTGGAAATTCTCCAAAGACCCAAATAGGTATGGGAATTAGCTATGGGATTCCCAACACTCTAGGAACCTGAGGCAGGAGGATCACAAGTTTGAACCCAGCCTGGGCAATTTAGCAACTTAACAATATCCAGTCTAAAATTAAAAAATAAAAAAAGGCTGGAGATGTAGCTCATTGCTCTGGTTAAATTCCCAGCTCTGGGCTATGGGGATCTGAAAACTATGGGGACACAGGAGAATTTTTTTAAAACTAGTTAAATAAAAAGTAACAAATTCTACCGTGGAGCGGAGGATTTGGCTCAGTGGTTCTGCCACCTGCCTCTCAAGCACATACATGGTCCTGAGTTCAATCCCCGGTAC